CCCCTGGCCAAGCAGGAGACCCTACACCATTTCTGACAGATGACAGTCCAGTCTCTTCTTGAAAGCCTCCAGTGATGAAGCTCCCACAACTTCTGAAGGCAACTTCTCTTCCATCGTTGATGGTTCTTACTGTCAGGAAATTCCTCCTTATTTCCAGGTTGAATCTCTCCTTGATCAGTTTCCATCCATTCTTCCTTGTCTGGCCTAGAGGGGCTTTGGACAATAGCTTGACCCCCTCCTCTCTATGGCAGCCCCTCAAATATTGGAAAACTGCTATCGTGTCTCCCCTGGTCCTTCTCTTCACTAGACTAGCCAAGCCCAGTTCCTGTAACTGTTCATCGTATGTTTTAGCCTCCAGTCCCCTCATCATCCTGGTTGCTCTCCTCTGCACTTTTTCTAGGGTCTCAACCAGTGGTGGGTTGCCCCTGGTTTGGACCAGTTTGCAAGAACCGGTAGTAAAACCAGCGGGAGGCTCTGCCCACTGACCCGGACATCATCATAGGTGATCTGTGCATGCAATATTCAAAGTGTGGTCTTACTAAGGCTTTATACAGTGATATTCGTACCTCCCTTGATCTTGATTCACTCCCTCTGTTAATGCAATTTAGGATTGCCTGGGCTTTAACAATATAAAATAAAATAAAATAAAATAAAATAGAGGGAACACAACTTCTGTTTGGAACCCCTCTCACAATTTGTCCAATGCATTTCAGATCAGTCCCAGTTTGACAAGTGCCAACCCAATAGCAGTTTTAAATAAGCAACATGCAGAGAGCAGTTTTATTGTACAGAGCGAGAATGACAAGGACGATGTTCAGTTCCCATTTCATGCAAGGCCTGCCTGTCAGCTGCTTCCTAGCTCCATCAATTTCCCAGCATGGCAAATCTGACTGCCCACAAATGAGACTGGCTGAAATCATTATTAGCCATACTGGTGTCACCTTAATTCTCCTTAATTCTTCCTTGAGAACTTGTTTGGTGTACTGGTTAAGGCGACTGTGAATTCTAGTCCCATTTCAGCTACTTGGGTGACCTTGGGTCAGTCACTCAGTCCCCCTCTTTCAGCCCTAGGAAGAAGGGAGCAACAATTCCCCAAAATCCCCCCCCCAAAAAAACCTCATTGTATATACCAGGGGTCTCCAACCTTGGCAACTTTAAGACTTGTGGACTTCAACTCCCAGAGATCCTCAGCCAGCTTTCTCGATCGTCCACTGCCCCAAAAGCGCTTTTCCAAAAGGCAACTGGACTTTCTTATTTGTTTGGTTTTCTTCAAAAATATTTCGCTTCTCATCCCAGAAGCTTCTTCGGTTCGTCAAGATTTGATTCTTTAAATCCCCCTCCCGCCAGTCAGAACTGGAGAAGCTTCTGGGATGAGAAGCGAAACATTTTCAAAGGAGAAGAAAAACAAGCAAGTCCAGTTGCGTTTCAAAAAAAAAAATTTAAATACGCAAGGGCGCAAGATTATAGGAACGATTGCTAGGAAGTTTATTCTGGTGCTATCCTTTGATGCTTTAGGGATTGAAACAGGTGGTGAAGCTCAGGGAGAGCTGTTGAAATGAATGCATTTGCCTGGCCCTTTGATTCTAATGTTCCTTGTTACGGTCCCTTCTGCAGCTGGCTGTCAAAAACTAAAAAAATAAAAATTACAAACCTTGATTTTACCACGCTGCTTTAAAAAGCCCTAAGTCACTTTTTTTCAGCCCCATTGTAACTTTGAATGGTCCCTAAGCAGGGGTGGGTTGTTGGGGGTTCGCAGGAGTTGGGGAGAACCTCTAGCTAAGATTCTGTGCAGTTCAGAAAACCCCCAAATCCCACTCCTGGCTGATCCCGCTCCACCCTGCCCACCCCTCCCCTCCCAGGAGTATCCATGCAGGCTGTTCTGTCCCCAACCCCATGCACACACACCAACAGACGTTCAGGAGTTAAAGACCAAACCAGCCGGCAAAATCCTTTTCCTTATGATAACGGAACTTGGCAACAACCTAGTGGCTGCCTGCCAAGAGTTTATTATTTACAAAGAGGAGAGATAACTTCTCCCCACTTCTGGTACATCAAAGGAAAGCAGCTCAATAATTACAGAGTCAATCAAGTCCAGAGATAATCCAGCAAAGTCTATAGCCAAAAGTCCGGCAATGCAGAATGGCGTGGAAGCTTTCAGCTTTGTTCGTCACAAGGTTTGACTGGCCACCACGCTCCCTTTTATATCCTGTGGGGTGTGGTCCAGTGACTCAGCCTAATCTCGGGCACGCCCTTTCTTCTGTTGCACGCGCTTATCTCTGCGACACTGGCGTGGATCCAGCCAAGACTCATTACCCTCATCACTGTCCATCTGTGGCTGCGTGGACATGCTTGGCCCTGGCCCTATCTCTTGCCCTTCGGCGGACACCGAAGGCATTGCCAGAGAGGAGGGTCCTGGAGAGGGAGGCCTTGCCAACTCCTCCCCTTCACTCTCGGAGTCCTCTCCTGACGATGACACAGGCTCCGGTAACGGAGCCACAAGAGCGGCCTGTTTTGGATGCAGATAAGTGCAGGGTGCCCACGGAGGCTCGGGGAGGGCGAAAAACCAGCCTAACGGAAGTTTGAAAAGGCCGGAAATGGGCCCGTTTCCAGCCTCCAGAGGGCCTCCGGAGCCTGGGGAGGCTGTTTTCGCCTTCCTGGAGGCTCGAGAAAAGCCTCTGGAGCCTGGGGAGGGCAAAAACACCCCCCTCCCGACCGTGGTGCAGGAGGCCGACTAGGCCACGCCCACCATGGCCACGCCCATCCAGCAACCAAGCAGAGAATCCCTTGCTAAAAATTTTGAAGCCCATCCCTGTCTCTAAATGAACAGCAACCTGAGTGGTGGTATCTAGGCTTTATCTGGATTGGTTTCTCAACTTTAGCCATTTTAAATTGTATGGACTTCAGCTCCCAGAATTCCCCAGCCAGCATGCTGGGAGTTGAAGTCCACACAACTTAAAATGGCCGAGCTTGAGACACACTGATCTGGAACCAAATTTCGGTTTAGTTTACACTGATTCTTCTATTCTATCCAGTTCAAAGAGTTTAAGATCCTAAATAGGGTCAATCGTAAAAGGAATTACGATTAAATTAATCTCGGTACCCCAATCAACCCAACCTTGAGGTTCGTTAATTACCGTATGTATTTAATGAAAATTTGTTTAAGTATTCAGGAGGCAAAGGATATATTAGGGACCTGAAAAATATTAGCATTAAGTTGTTCATTTTAGAGCATTCCATGATAATGTCTTGGCGGTGTGGAAAAGAGAAGCTTGGAATGTATTCATTGAAAGAAATAAATCAGGGTTTTGTCTCTACGAAGATAAATGTTTTGACTACATTATTTCTCCTGACTCTGCATATTTGCACTACAGGAAGATAATCTTCACGGTTAGAGGCAAGAAAATACCTCCCTTGGTAGAATCTGAATTAATGTATCTGGTGGCTCAGAATAAATTGCATTCAACTCATATCTGTTGCTGACATTCAGAAGCTGACACCAAGAAGTTAATTTGTTGGGTCAAGGTTGCATTTCAAATAAGTGTCCTTTCAGTCAATGAGTCTACTACAATTCTACTTTAAAAAAAAAAAAAAATTGATACATGGGAGAAGTTAGAACTATTTAAATTAAGCCGGGTCCAAGGCTGAGCCAAGGGATTGTTGAATCTATCTCAAGGTTGCAAGATAGCAAAGAAATTTGGAAGTGCAGGAGGGGCCATCCAATGTCCCTTCGCCTACTATCAGCATCTCAATGCCAAGTTCCCCATCCTTTCTCCTGATTTATTCACCTAGCAACAGGCCAGCCCTGCTTAAAAAAAATACACCCTAACTTTGACTAAATATGCTAAGATGTCTAAGATAAAGAGTAGCAAACATTCCATATTCATGTTAATAAAGTCCTGAGTTTATTTTCAGCTCATCTCCTCAGCATTTAAGCCATTTCCCATCATCTACAAAACTCTGTTGCTTGGCAGAGAATAGGATGGGATGGGACGCGACGGGACGCGACGGGATGAGATGGAACAGAATAGAATGGAACAGAAGAGTCAAGTCGAGTCGAGTAGAGTAGAGTAGAGCAGAATAGGAATAGAGTAGAGTAGAGTAGAATAGAATAGGAATAGGAATAAAGTAGAGTAGAGTAAAGTAAAATAGGAGTAGAGTAGAGTAGAAGAAGAGAAGAGGGGAAGGGAAGGGAAGGGAAGGGAAGGGAAGGGAAGGGAAGGGAAGGGGTGGGATGGGATGGGATGGGATGATATGGGATGGGATGGGATGGGATGGGAATGAGAATAGGAGAGGAGAGGAGAGGAGAGGAGAGGAGAGGAGAGGAGAGGAGAGGAGAGGAGAAGAAAAAGAGAAAATAGAATGGAATGAGAATAAAATAGAAGCAACATCAAGCAAAAAGCAACATCATAAAACGGGGTAAAACACACTTAAAAATTGTCTCACCTAGTAAAAATGTTGGGCTTAATTGTGGCCATAAATTGAGAACTATCTGTACTCAATCTTTACTCTCTGCTCTGTGTGGCCCACTTACCTCCATTCTTACCACCTGCCATACACTGGAAGGCGAAGGCCTCACTAAGTAGCCTGTTTTTCTTAGATAAAATCATCTAAACTATGAGTGGTGGAGACTGAAAAAAACCCAGTTATTCTTTCCTCATGCTATCCTGGTTAGTGCTAACCACAACATGATGAGCTGAGGTGCATGTAATCAAGGAGAAGAGTTGCTTCTAAACAATTGGGATTGTTAGTTACTGTATGCCCATCCAACTAGATTGTCTCCAGCTAACATTCCATAGATGCAAAGTTAAGTACGGTGAGGACCATGTGGCAACGAGTGTTTCTACTTTTAGTTTACTTCATCATCGTGGTGAAGGACGTAATGTTCTTCAGAGATCTTCCAACTTATTTATGGAGTGCAGTGACACCCGTGCCAATAAAAGGCTGGCAAATGACAGGCATTCCTCATTCCCTTTCTTTGATTCTATTGCGTTTGTTTTCAGGAATGACAACCAAAGGGTGGATTGAGCAGAAGACCTGAGCAGATGGTTCATCCTGTCTTCTCAAAAGCACCCGGGTTCCCATTGAAGAAAGCAGAAATCATCCGTCATTTGAAGACCAGCTATGGAAACACTCTGGGTTGTGACACCCTTTTGGAGAAGATGGAGACCTTTCCTTCTGTGGTTTTCTTCTTAAGCCAATCTCATATTAGTATCTATGGAGAAACTTCTCCCTCTACTTCCTAGCAAAGACCAGCCCCATTGTAATGACGTTGCTAGTGCCAAAGAGCTGGTTGCGTTTCTGTATTGTCTCCTCAAATCCAGAGATTATGATCCGTACATTCTGTAAATTTCAGTGGTCGGCAATATAAATCAGGGGTCTATTGAGATGTGGAAGAAGTCATGGTTGCTTTTGGTGGGACGCACATTCAAAATGTGCAGGTCTTTGTAGAGGAAAAGGGTGGCAAGGCCTGTTTAAAGTAACGGCTGCGGAGCTGAGTCAGAACTGACAAACTTTTCTGTCAGTAAATACAGTTCTACCTACCTGAAAATGGAAACACTTAAAATCATGAAGAAGCAGCCCGTGTGCCAGGCGTGAAGGATCAGATCCACATGTGAAGGTCTAATCAAATTGATTTATTGCTAAAAAGTCAATGCACAGGAATCTTCTTAACCTGCTTAGATCAGGATGGGTGGAATTCAAGGGAGGTAGGATTTAGTCCATTTGTGGCTACGTAGAGATTCTAGGCTGATTCCTTTTTTTGACGCCGCCTTCGAGTTCTCCACTCTTTTTCCTACACCATGCTATTGTTCCACACATTTTTTTTCTTCGCCTTTACCAAATTTTGCTTATTTAAAAAGAGCCAGCTTTTCTGAGTGAAAAATTGTGACAAAACAGCGAAGACCGTTACAAGGGATGGTTTCTTTCTATTTTTCTTTTAAAAACCACACCATTTAACCTGATTAATTAAAATGTATATTATCAAAGGAAAGGGAAGTCTGATAGCCAGAATAGCATCAATGAGCAGAATATTCCAGAAAGGTTTATAAATGTCACATTTTGAATGTCAGAAATGTTCAAGGCCGTGTAATGCAAAGGCATTTGAATACTATGTTGTATATTTCACTTCAAATTGAAGTAAAAAAAAATTGGAGAAACTCACTTGGAGTACGCAAATTTTATAAATAATGCATGTCGTGTGGAAGACATATGCTTCTAATGAAGACTATAATTCGATGTTACGGTAAAATAATGCAGACTTTTGAAGAAAAGAATGCTATATTTCAGGCAGTGTGTAATTCCTATCCGTTGCTGCTAAATTTAACCTTCTGTTATTTCAGTATAAATTATTTGGTCTTCATTTTTCGTTAATGAAATTGAGCTGAATAGAGATTGTTGTGCCAATCTATCAAGAGATCTTGCAAGCCTACAATTTCGAGCAGCAAACTCTTCCCTTCTGAATTTTCATCCTAAATACAGGTAGTGAATAAAATGGGGAGGGGAGGGGAGGGGAGGGGAGAGAGAGAAGAGAAGAGAAGAGAAGAGAAGAGAAGAGAAGAGAAGAGAAGGAGAAGGAATAGAATAGAGAAGAGATGGGAAGGGAAGAGAAGAGAAGAGAAGAGAAGAGAAGAGAAGGGATGGGAATGAGAGGAGAGGAGAGGAGAAGAGGAAAAAGAGAAATAGAATGGAATGGGAATTGAACAAAAGTAAGTGTGCCACAAAATATAATTTCCCTTTAATTTTCTGTAGAAAATGAGATTTACAAACATTTATACCAAGTGTTCTTCCCTACGCCAAGCAGAATCTATGAAAGGCAATATTTATTCTTAAAATATATTTTAAATGGGGTAACTATAACCTACAATTAATTCATTACGGATTGCCAATACACCACAAAGACATATATTCCGACCTTAAATTAGCTTTCTATGCACAAAGTGGCCAACTGCAGTTTAGCCTGACATGACATACAACCCCTAGCTTACAATCTGGATTTTAGTTTGCATGGACCCAGAAAAATAGACTTGAGTAAACCATAATTAGATCCACTATGCCTTGGTAAGACCACACTTGGAATCCTGCATCCAGCTTTGGTCACCACAATGTAAAAAAGATGTTGAGACTCTAGAAAGAGTGCAGAGAAGAGCAACCAAGAGGATTAGGGGACTGGAGGCTAAAACATACTGTACAAATAACGTTTTTGGAATTTGGAATAACGTTTTTAGAATGCCTAACTTTAATGAACAGAATGACTAGGGGGTGACATGATATTAGTCTTCCAATATTTCAGGAGGTGCCCCAAAGAAGAGGGGGTCAACCTATTCTCCAAAGCACCTGAAGGTAGGACAAGAAGCAATGGATGGAAACTAATCAAAGAGAGAAGTAACCTGGAACTAAGGAGGAATTTCCTAACAGTGAGAACTATCAATGAGTGGAACAATTCCCTCCAGAAGTTGTGAATTCTCCAACACTGGAAGTTTTTAAGAAAAGATTGGACAAGCATTTGCCTAAAGTGGTAGAGGACTTCCTGCCTGAGCAAGGGGTTGGACTAGAAGACCTCCAAGGTCCCTTCCAACTCTGTTATGTACTGTGAAAAGAGGAACTTAGTTAATAATGCCCGAATGATGCTTTTTGTGTGCCATTCTCAAAATATCTATGTACTGTGTTTCCCCGAAAATAAGACCCTGTCTTATATTTTTTTGAACCCTGATAGAAGCACTTGGCCTTATTGCAGGGGTGAAATGCTCCCAGATTGGACCGGATCATTTGATCCGGTAGCGATCTTGGCCGGTGGTTCGGCAATCTGGTAGCGACAGTGGAGCATAGCTCCGTCCACTCGGCCGGGTGTCATTACTTCCTGGTTGTAACCAGGACATAATGTGTTTTTTACCTTCTGCGCATGTGCAGAAGTTTTTGTGCATGTGCAGGTCTGTGCACGCCTGTGACATGCGTGTACATGCTCACTTCGCTCATGCGCACGCATGGCACATGTGCTTCCAAACCAGTAAGGAAGGTAAGTAGATTTCACCCCTGCCTTATTGCCATGCCATGACCCAGATTGTTGGGGGCAATATGATATTTAGTATACTGTCTTTGGTGTAAGCCGCCCAGAGTCCTCGGAGAGTGGGCGGCATAGAAATATGACTAATAATAGTAAATAATAAATAAAAAGTCTGATTGGGATTATTATCAGGGGATGTCTTATTTTGGGGGGAAACGGTATATATACCTAGGAGGAACAATATTTAAACATTTAATAACATTCAAATTAAATAAAAAAGGATTTCCTGTACACAATACTTGCTCACATCTGTCATAATATTCTAAACAGGTGAGCTCAACATACTTAGTTTAAAAATTATTATAGCCTTTAGCTCTGATCTTTCTGCTGTATATTGCAGGCAAAAGTACTCCCAAGAAAACAGCAGCTGAAAAATAAAGGCTTTACAGGAGATTAAACTTAATTAACTAGAAGATGGGTTAGAAATGCTTTTGAAACTCCACTTATTCTAGGATTTTACCCTAAAAGTTTTATCTTTAAAATCTGCGTCACGGCACTGTAATCCAGAACATATTTAAGCAGCCTTGCAGAAAAATAATTGCACGTGTTGGAGCAACATACTGTACATTTAAATCCTATCGTATAAAGCAATTCAGCCTCGTTAAATGTTAATTGAAGGTATGGAGATGATGTAGGTAGGAAGGAGGAAAAGGAAAAAGAGCTGGAGATCAGTAGCCCTTTCTTGAGAAAAAAAAAGTAGACGGCATGAGCTGAGGAATTCCCATGGGGTAAGAGTTTATGGGTGACTACCAAGGCCATCCTCCAACATAGGTGCTCCCTGGAACTTCCTTGCTCCAAGCATCTTCATCTATGGAAGGATCAATTGGACTTAGGTGTTTGGCCCAGGGAATTAAGTGTGTGTGTGTGTGTGTGTGCCGCCATGCTCTGATCCTTGCTTGGTTCTTCAGAGAACCTCTGACCTTCCCCTGCAACGTGGAATCATTCTGGTCACTCTGAATTACCACCCATGAGCCTCAGGGCGAGCCTTGAAGCTATCTCCAAGCCTCAAAAGTACCTTAATTCATCTCTCTCATGTCATCTGTCAAAGCAGGTCCTTTGGCTCATGAATGTTAAGCTAGTCCTACCCAGTCCTTCTTTCCCATCCCATGGATGTCCTGGATTCGGACCCAGAGAAAGAAAATGACCATGACAGAGTCCAAATGGAACATACTTTGGCTTGGTTGACATGGACTTTGTACATGGTTGGTTCAGAGGTGGGTTTCAGCAGGTTCTGACCAGTTCTGGAGAACCGGTAGCAGAAATTTTGAGTAGTTCGGAGAACCGGTAGTAAAAATTCTGACTGGCCCCGCTCCCATCTATTCTCTGCCTCCCGAGTCCCAGCAGAGAGGGCTCTGTGTGCCATAGCTTTTCATCACAGCCCTAGAGCATACGGACAAAGGATGGTCAACCCTGAGGCTATTTGCATCCTAAATTTTGCTTTCCTAGGCACTGTAGGATCCAGAGCAGTGGTGAAATCCAAATTTTTTTGCTACTAGTTCTGTGGGCATGGCTTGATGGGCGTGGCAGGGGAAAGGTACTGCAAAATCCCCATTCCCTCCCCACTCCTGGAGCCAGCCAGAGGTGGTATTTGCCAGGTTCTCCAAATTACTCAAAATTTCTGCTACCGGTTCTCCAGAACCTGTCAGAACCTGCTGGATTTCCCCCCTGATCCAGACCTGCGGGCAACATCATACTGGATGCACAAATTAATCTTATGATCTAGGACAGTGTTTCTCAACCTTGGTAGCTTGAAGATGGGTGGACTTCAACTCCCAGAATCCCCCAGCCAGCAGCGCTGGCTGGGGGATTCTGGGAGTTGAAGTCCACCCATCTTCAAGCTACCAAGGTTGAGAAACACTGATCTAGAAAGAAAAATAAATGGCTCTACTTACATTCTGAGGCTGGTGGACAGCTCTGGAGTAAATATCTTCTCTTTTTGATACTATTCAATATTTTGAGACAGCATTTCAATGCCATGCGTGCTCCCAAAATGCAAATACTCTTTTTTCAAAGATTGGCTGCAAGCTTCTTTTTTTTTTTTCCCTGCAGCATCGTTTTGCCCCTGTAAACTACGCGCTACTGGAATCGAGTCAAAGTTTTACGGTCCTTCAAATTGAGGCTGGAGCCAGGGAGGAAATACTAAAATCCTGTATATACAACTTCTGTCTGTGACAGGCCGAGAAATTCCATGAAAATTAGCAACTCAACAGTGGAATAAAGTTATATCTGATTCGAAGGTTGGGAAGCGGTTTCTTTCTTGTTGCAAGAAACAATGGCTTTGTCAAGAGAGAAGATTTAGGATCTTTAAATAACGTGGAAGGTTTCGTTATACCGGCCAAGTATTTAATTAACAACAGACCATAATTTCAAGAGTTTAAAGAGTTTCATGCTAGCAAGGAGAAGTGCCTCTTTCCAAATTGTAAGTGCTATATGAGTCCAGTTAACATTCTGGAATCAACATGTCAAGTGTTTATTGTTTCGTTTTGAAAATTATATATATAAATATTTCAGCAGTTTGAATCCCTAGTGCCGCGTAATGGGGTGAGCTCCCATTACGTGTCCCAGCTTCTGCCAAGCTAGCAGTTCGAAAGCAGGTAAAAAATGCAAGTAGAAAAATAGGGACCACCTTTGGTGGGAAGGGAACAGCGTTTCGTGCGCCTTTGGCGTTGAGTCATGCCGGCCACATGACCACGGAGACGTCTTCAGACAGCACTGGCTCTTCGGCTTTGAAACGGAGATGAGCACCGCCCCGTAGAGTCGGGAACAATTAGCACGTATGTGCGAGGGGAACCTTTACTTTTACCTTTACTTATCCTGCTGGTGAGATAAGTACCCTGGAACAAAATTTCAGGTGTTGTTGACAATAGCATTACTACAACCTAGGGGTCCCCAATCTTGGCAACTTTAAGACTTGTGGACTTCAACTCCCAGAATTCCTCAGCCAGCTTTGAAGGAGAGAAACTTTGCTGGCTGAGGAATTCTGGGAGTTGAAGTCCACAAGTCTTAAAGTTGCCAAGATTGGGGACCCTTGCTACAACCCTACCACCAATAGAAGAGAGAGAGAGAATTACTACAGCGTTCCATGCGCCAAAGTCTATGC